CCTTATATTATAGGATAATTTTGTGTTGATTCAATTGAAATTTGAAAACTACATACAAAATATACTACAAAATACACACACAATAACACAGCTGCAGAGCTGGAGCTTCAACCACTTGAGGTCAGTAGATACATGTTCTGCTTGTGTTTGTCTTTAAATGATCTGCTCACCCAAAACCACAAATCACATCTTCCCACACACCCCTGGTGGTTTGTAGCCTTCCAAATAGATTTGGTATTATATGATAGCCATTAGCCAATCAGCTCTTAGATTTCTACCTCCATCACAGAACATTTTGAGTGAACACAGTATAGTTGCCGTACTCAAAGCATTGATGAATAATATTTAAAAAGTTAGAGATTTGTTACAGTCCGCCATACGCTGTGTGTGGCACTCAGTCCCAAGTCCTATGGTTTCTATACTGAAAATGCAAAGCTATGAAAATTAATCTCAAACAATTTAGAATACAACAGTGAGAAAGTCAAGTGATTTCCTTTGGCAGATGTGCGCTGCAGGTTTGTAGATATTACTAAAACAGGAGAAATGACAGATGTGTATTGGTACAACTCAGATGTAGTTTGAAGGAATATGGTAGTTCATGCTTTGGCTGCACATACAGTATTTGTTCATGATACATTTATTGCTAGTTTTGGTGATTTAATTTGATTTACTGCCAGAATGAAAAATGCACAATATCCTCACATCCTTATCTTTTCTTGACTTGTCTTTCAATTCTTTTTTTCTTCTGCTATTTGATGAAAGGAGCTGGTGCATCAAGACAGCCTTACATCTTGGTTGTCATCGTTGACTGATACATAAATCATATATTTTTTTATAGTTTACCAGTGATTCACTGTTCCATACAAATCAATCTCTTGACATTCAACAGGGCCTATGGTCTATACAATCACCCATATCAAAACGTTTACCACAAGAGGACAGTGTTTCCCTGAGGAAAACCAAACGCTGCCAACTCCTCCTCCTCTCCTTGGCTGTGCAGCATCTCAGCGATTAGAAGCTGGTTAGATGCAGATGAGATGCCCACTCTGTTTATTTCTGTAGCAAACTGAATATGATTGTACACATTTTTTTTAGAATAAATTTGAGCCCAAATGTAAAAACGGTGCAGTACCTACTGATATCATTTGGTAGAAAAAAGTCCACTTTCTGTAAACATCTCTTCCTCTACTTTGCAGTACTAAAACTTAAATGAATGGAAACATAGTCTGTATATAAATATGAAATGACAGCTATGAAAGACTGAAGCCAAAGCATCTTGATTGCTACCTGGTGGCTGGCTGCAGTGTAGGTCATAGGTCATCCTCCATGGTATTAGATGGGATATGAGCCAAACTAAAAAGTCAAAGTACACGTCAAATATACTTTCTCAAAGTTTGTTTCTGTCTTTTCAGCTAGTTCTTATCACACTGATATTTTTTCTAGTAAGTTTGGTTTCAATTTGTTATTTGATGTGATAAAAACAGGGTGAAACTTTGATTGACAGCTGATACTGACTCACGATTGGTGTGCAGATTCTGGCTCCAAATCTGCGAGATTGGGATATTTCAGCTTCATTTCTGGATAGTGGGAAAAGGTAGAGATGAGTTGTCCAACTTTATATCCAATCTATGAATGGAAACAGATGGGATGAGTAAGAACCAAATACATGCAAAATAGCAGAGGAGCTGTGGCTGTGTAAGAATGGGCAGGAGAGAATACATCAAATTGGTATAAAGGGTTACGAGTTAATTCGAGTTTGTGTTTGAGGATGAACAATAGTTTGCGGACATCCACAGGGACCTGCAGGGCTGGTGTTCACCACCTGCAGCTAAGCCCCTGAAAACCTGAGAACACCATCTCACTGACTTCCTCTCTCTATTTTCTCCCCCTTGAAAGAACATGCACACACACATGCACGCACATTCCCACAAACCGCCTTCTGCTTCCAGCCCACTGAGTCAGTCTGTCTGTGTTATCAGCCCACTGACTCATTGTGCCTCGGTCTGTCCAGCTCATGGCCCTCTTTCTATTTTCATCCTGTCCTGACATGAAAATGCCATGACCTTGTGCCTTGTGTTGGACCACTAGTGCTGTATGTGTACACGTGTGTTGTTATGTTTATGTGTTTAAGTGTGAAGACCTAATCCCACATGCCCATGGTCACCGTCACTGTCTAAACAGCTAATGGAATTGTTTTACTTGGCCGTGTGTGATAATCACATGGGGCGAACATGGAAGCAGCTGTTTATCCTCAAAATATGTCAGCAGAGCTAGTAAGATTTTTTTTTTAAATATATAGAGAGGAGTTGGAAACAATAGTGACGTAAACTTACAGCAGTAAGAAAATAAATTTGTTCTTTATAAATAAATAATTGAGATTCTCTGGACTGGCAGTCAATGGCAGCCATCAGTCGCAGACACATAAGCCAAGCTGACAGACTTACCTTTCTCTGAACTGCCAGTTTTTTCAGACATTTCAAAGAAAACTCCTCTCACAAAAATTGCAGTGCCAATATTTTATTAAATCCTGAAGGGACTGTTTGGATGGCAAATCGGCCCCAGTGCCACCTGCTCTTGCATCTTGAGGGAGAGCGAGGGGGAGAGTTGATATGAAAGAAGACGAAAAAGCTCATTGATTTGATGGTGTGTCAGAGTGCTCTCCGCCAGGTCCGACTGCTGTGTGATGGATTGAAATTAAACATTTTATGGCAAAACCAACAGTAATCCTTCAAAGCGATTATCTTTTCTTTAGTTTTTTCTTTCCTTCTTTTTTTGGGGGGGGGGGGGGGGGGGGGGGGGGGGGGGGCAGGGTATGAAACAAATGCTTTTCAGGACAAAGTTTTCTTTTTCATCAACAAAATTGCTGGACTCAGTTCATACCCCACTGAGTTCTCTGAGGAGGGTCCATTTCGTCCGGGAGCCTTAAGATGGTTTAGAGCTGAAAATAGAGACAGATTGACTTCTGAAAAGCAGCATTTCCCCCTCATCTCCCTTGCATCCAATGAATAGTGACTTGTCCTCCGCCTCACCCCTCCTTTATCTCCTCTTTCTTTTCCCATCCATTTCCTTGGTTTCTCAATGTGGGACAAAAAGCTCAAATCCTTTTAACTCCTACCATAAACAAGAAAAAAAAAAGGAGGACCACAACATTTTAACTAAATCGCTGTGGTGCAATGTTTCTAACAAGTAAGCATCAGTGTATGAATCATCTTCCAGTGATATATCTGCAGTTCATTCTAGTGCTTTCATGTGGCTTTGTGATTTTGGTCAGTCAGAGGGACTTTTTTTCAGTCTGACTTCACATTTATGATGTCCTCAAAGCTTGAAGGTATAAGCACTGGGATGTCTTAAAAGATGTTTCCCTTTCTGTTTGATTTGAAAGTCCTGCTGCTTGTGCATATCTATCATAGCGCCTCCCACACAGTCAGGATTTGTCAAAAGGAGTTTGAGCTTGAGCTGTGGAGGCTGACTCTTCCAAAAAGCTCTTGATAGATTTCAGTTCAGGGGGAT